TATATAAAGTAATTTTCCCACGGCACACCTTACACTATGTCACGGCACACTAGTGTGCCGCGGCACAGTGGTTGAAAAACACTGGGTTAAGGCACCGGATTTAGAAACCAAGAGATCCTGAGTTGGACCAATCACTCTCTCAGCCCAACCCACCTCACAGGGTTGTTGTTGTGGGAAAATAGGAGGCGCAGAGTGTATTATGTGTGCTGGCCACCTTGAGCTATTTATAAAAATAATGAAGGTGGGATGTAAATAAACAATTAGGCCAGGATTTAGCAGTGCAATACAGGTAATCCTCCACTTATCACCACAATTGAGCCCAAAATTTATGTTACTAAGCGAGAGATTTATTAAGTGAATGTAGCCCCATTTTATGACGGGGCCACAACAAGTGAATCACTACTATTGTTAAATTAGCAAACACAACTGTAAAGGGCTTCCCCATTGACTTTGCTTGTCAGAAAGTCGCAAAAAGTGATCCCATGACCCCAGGACACCACAACCGTCATAACTATGAGTCAGTTGCCAGGCGCCTGAATTTTGATCACGTGGCCACGGGGATGCTGCAACGGTCGTAAGTGTGAAAAAGTCACACTTTTCAGTGCTGTTGTAACTTTGAACACATTCATTTAGTGAACTTTGAACACTTCACTAAATGAACAGTTGTCAGTCAAAGTCTATTTGTGTTCCCAAGAACTCACCATAACTGCTGCAGTCCACCAGGCCAACTCGCCACTCCCCCGCCATGCTGTCAGCATCCCGTTCTGCGTGTATCTCCGCATGGACCCGGGAGATCAAAGCCGGGTTCTGGTCAGACACCAGAATGACATCGCAAACTTCATCTCGGCGACCCAGACGATAAACGCAGCTGGGCTTGGCAGGTCTGAAAGTGTAGAGATCCCGGTTTGGCAAATCCCCAGAAGAGGCCGGGCCCATCCGGAGCAGCTGGAAGCAGGGCAGAGCTTCAGAAAGCATGGCTGGAGCTCCTTCAATCCAAAGACAGGTCAGGTGACAAGCAGGTGGGGCAGGGGTTCAATCACTCCACCTGCAAGCCGTCAAGTTGACTTCCAGCTGTGGCAGCTGCAAACTTTTTTTAATGGGAAAGCCGAAATAGCAGGTGCAAGAGAATAGGGTCAATTGCAAACTGAGATGGCTGCCGAAATTTGGCCAGATGCCCCAAATCACAGGCTGTCGTGCAATGACAGGTTCATCTCTACCTGAAGATGGGTGGGTCCTTCCATCAGCTTCCTTGATTAACCCCAATTGATTTAACTACAAAGAAAAAAAAATAAGGCTCCTTCAGTCATGCAACCGGTTTCATCTCCCCATGACACGCAGTTGCAAAGACGGCTTCAGACGTTTTAAGGGCAATTATTTCCTCAAGAGCAATTTCGAGTCAGACTGACTCCTGACCCGCATTGCGGGTGCAAACACCCGTGTCTGCCACTCGCCATGGGAATTCTTGCATGAAGTCTTTTTTTTCCCTCCTCCTTCCCTTCTGCAGGAAGGTTCCAGTTTTCCACTGCAGGGACAATAAATAACTCGCGATCCTTTAAAACTACCCTGCAGGTCCCGTGGAAGTTCGTGGAAAATCAGCCCCGCTGGGTCTTTTCGAGCATCCTCGGGGAAGGGAGGATGCAGATCTTGATGGACCGGATCGAAACCGGCTCGGCTTTTCTCAGCAGGCTGAAGATCCTTGGAATGAATTCGAATTTATACACAAAAAAACTTGCAGATTTCTTGTCCGTCGGTCTCTCCGGTTTTTGCCCGGCAGCGAAGTCGACCGCCCTTCCTTTGCAAGCTTTCTGGAACATCCACGCCCAGGCAACGCGGTTCGGTTCTAGAACCCGGGCGGTGTCGTAGCAACGAGCGGTCTTGGGCAGAGTGGGGGTGGGTGGGAGGGTTCTCGAATCGCCGTTTCCTTGGCGACGCCTCGAATCACCCGAATGGAAGGAGCTTCTGGAGTCTCTCGTCCGCTTCGCTTCTGGCCTCCTTGTCAAAGCCGCTCCCCGGGCTCCGAGCGGCGCGCGCTGCATTCAGATTGGTCCGGCTGGAGCTAGGGGAAGGAGGAGCGGCCGAGGCCTCCGACGCCGATTGGCCGATCGATGAGAAAGCCTTGCTGTCCCGTTGGCTGGAAAGGCTGGAGGGCGGGTCGGCGAGCATAAAGCGCGCGCGAGGCTCGACGCAGGCCTGGGGCGGAGGAAGGCCCTGAATGGTTGGGATCGTCAGGGTGGGCCTTCGGCATCGTTGGCGCGTTCGGCCAGCGGAAGGCGATTGGATGGCGGGAGGGGCAAAGAGGGGAGGGAGGGGGGAGGAGCGATAAGTATTGGCGGGATGAGCCGCTTTGGCCCCGCCTTCTGAGCTTCGCTTTCTAGCTAGAAAGTTGCCAAGTAACAGGAATCCTCGACTTACTTCGTTTAGTGACTGTTCAAAGTTAGAACGGCGCTGAAAAAAGTGACCCAAAGGTGTTTTTTTTTTTAAGAGGCAACTGGACTGTCTGGTTTTTCTTTGAAGACATTTCGCTTCAAAGAAGTTTAAAGAAGCTTCTTCTTGGAGTCTTAAAAGAAAAAAACCAAGAAAGTCCAGTTGCCTCTTGAAAAAAAAAGCACCTTTGGGTCCCAAGTCATTTTTTTCACAGCCGTTCTAACTTTGAACTGTTGCTGAATGCACTGTTGTAAGTCGAGGACTGCCTGTCTTCAGTTTTGACAAGGATGCTTGGCAGTTCTGTAAAGATTATTCCTCCAGGTCATGGTTGTCCCAAAGATGCTTTTTTTCCCCAAGAGGCAACTGGATTTTCTTGGTTTTTCTTTGAAGACATTTTGTTTCTCATCCAAGAAGCTTCTTCAGCTCTGACTGGATGGTGGGGAATGGAAGGATTTATATTCCTTGCAGACATTTGCATCCTTTATGAGAGTCTGTGATGCACTTGGAGGTTTATCTTGTGTCCTCAGGGTCACATGAGTAGTGCAAATGTTTCTTGTAGTCTGCAATTTCCCCCCTGTAAATTCATTCCTACTTGCACACCATTCAAAGGGTGTGTACTCCTAGTGTTGGATAGGATATAATATTATATATATATGTGTGTGTGTGTATGTATATGTATATATGTGTATATATATATATATATATATATATATATATATATATATATATATATATA